TGTTTAATTTAAAAATAGAGACCGCAAAAATATCACAGATTTTGCTAAATTTAGCAGTCTTTGAAGGTTTAACAAATACTTTTGGTTTTTCTGAACACAGAATATTTGTGGGAAATAAATAATTTATTTAAAATGATTTCTTTAATAATAATAATAAACATGCATACATAAATACTTGTAGGGTTAAATATTAAAAAAAAAAAAACAAATCTCTATTTATTTCATTAAGGAACAAAATATTTTTTTTTTTTATAAAAATGAAATAACAAATTATTTTTCTTGATATGTGATCCTTCATACTCGTATTCATTGCAAGCAAGGCATAGAGTTTAATTAGTTGATATAGGGTAATTGCTCAAAACCCTTAGGTGCGTTTGCTTTGCTGTGTAAATTATTTTAATTATGGAAAATTTCATAGAAATCAGTTTTTAGTTTGAGAAATTATCTAGTATGTCATACCTTCTTGCGACAAAGCAATAGTTGTCATATAAAATATTTTTTGACTAATTTTAGTAAAAGAACTTAAGCCTGCCGAACTGAAAATATATTTGATATGATAATAGAAGAAAAATGTTAATATTTATATAGCGAAAATGTGCAGATATTGCTGTGTGTATTACATGTTATGCAAGTGTACATATATTATATATTAATAAAAATTATAATAATTATCAGTTACTCCTCGAAAATATTTTTAGAAAGTTATATCCAAAAAAATGGATTATAATTTTCGCATTCAAATATTCTTAAGTTCATAAGTATGTATACTTGCATTAATTTAATAATATTTTTTTGGAAGATTTTGTTTATAGTTAAAATTTAGGAATTACAATTTAGCAATTTATGTAATTATTTTGTTCATTTAACATACATTTATTTAATGGGAAAACATTCATTAAACTAAATAATTGCATTTGCGCTTAGCCATTTAGGCTTTTTAAAACGACTTTTTTAATCCTTTCATTTTATGCATGTATTTGTGTGTAGTGGTAAAGTGTTGTTTTCATTTGCCCATACGCAATGCAAAAATTTTATATATATATATGTATATTTAATTGTTGAACTGCTTTTTATTAATTTGTGTTTTTGTTTTTTAAGAATTTTATTATGATTTTTTTTTATTTGTAGATTTTACCTAAAATTTTCAATACAATATAATCATGTCCTCGTTTTAAGCGTAAATCGTTTGAATATCCACAATTTTTCATCAATTTTAGTATTGAGTATTTTGCGTATATGTATGTATAAGTTAAGTACTAGATCTCCAAAAATATATTACGAGATAACTTAAAAAAGGTAATATTCCGATGATTCTCACAAAATGAGAACAATTCAACTTATGTTGAAATACCACCAATTGGCAATTGAATTTGGGTTGAATTGAACATTTTGCTACATATATATACATATGTAGTTTTTTTTTTAATTTTCTTGCACATTTCATAATATCTTTTTCGACATACTGAATTTTAGTGATTTTTGTGAAAACCCATAGATTAGGTATGGTTTGGTATTTTTTCTTCGCTCTTCTTAAAACTTTTCAAAAAATTGTTTAAAACTTCATTTCAATTTTAATTTACTTGTGTTCCTCTACTTGCATGATAATGACATCGATATATTAATTTTTCCGAAATTTTAATGCAAGGACATATAAACGAAATTGTTTTTTTGCCTTCTTTCAAAACATCTTGAGTATATCTGGGCTCGATATATTTTCCGATAGTGAAAAATTCGACATACTCAAAAGGTTTGTTTACTCTTACAAAATTTATAGTTAAATTTTATGTTTTCTTTGCTTTAATTAGCTTCTTTTGTGTATTATCAATTAAAATTTAAAAATTATATTTTCACTTACTGTTAAGGCATTTTCAAAATTTTCCCCAATAGGAGATGTACGAGGAAAATTTTCAAAAATGTTTAATTCTCTTCGTTGACATAAGACTTTTTCGTATTAAATTTCATACATGTGTACATATATATATGTATACATATGTAGGTGTATTAACTTAATGGTACTTATAGTTTTATAAATATTTAAGTGGTACAATATGCAGCTTTGTATGTATATATATAATATATATTCATATTCAAATATATGCAAAATTGATTTATTTCTTCGATAATACCAGCAATAAAAACCTACAACTACAAACAAACTGTAAAAAATTCATAAAAATAGGGTACCAGTTATAAATTGCTTTTCAAAGAGGGGACAAAGTTAGGATTAAATTAGAGTAAATCACGCCAATAATTATATTATTCGTATACAACAGGCAATGGCCGCGAAAAATTGCATATTTTCAAAATTGAAAACAAAAATATGCTGAAACTAAAATTAAAAAAAAAAATGAAAAACAATAAGTTAATGAAAATCTTGCCCAATGCATTACAAAAGCTTAGCACATCAATGAAATCTCATCACCATATCGGCGGCTCTGCCGAGTATATTAGATATATTGATTTTTAGCATGAAACAGCGCAGAAAAAGCGTTCAGTTTTATAATGTTTGTTCACAGCGCCCGCTTCCCATGTGAGCTGCATGCAAAAATGGAATTATCGTTGGGTTTTAATGAATTTTTACTCCTTTTGCACCTTGAGTTTATTGATTTCTAAAGTTTTATAACGAAAAAATACGCTTAAGGATTGAAAATTCAGCCAGCAAATCCATTTTTTTTTAATATTGTATTGTATTTTTTTTAAAGGGGAAATTCAAATGACTTCATTAAATAGTTAGTATAATCCATTTTTTTTAATTCTTCAGTTAATGTCGGCTTCCGTAATCTGCACAACTGGGTTGTATTTATCTTGTCATTGATTTCAATATATTTATTACGGCTTCTAAAGCTTCTTTTGGTAGAGGTCCTTCGACGAAGGAAATAAAATCAATGATATTACTATAAGTGTGCATAATTAAAGTATTACTTTTACTAATATTGTAAATTAGGAGGGATTTGGCATCCTTATTATCTACACAACTTGGCAAATGGACATATTAAGTTTTCCAAATGTACATTTGGTGTAATTTTGCGCCCAAGTTGCTGTGCTAGTAACATTTTGATTTCATCTGACCTCTAAAATCTAATTTGCTGCTGTTTTCCTGTTCTCCGATATATTCTAATGTACATATATGCAATAAATACCCGAAAGCAAATGCTTCTGTTTGTTTTAAATCGTTAACAGACAATGTTAAACGTTAACATTTAAATGTGCTGTTAATATCATAGCTCGCAACCATTTTAAATTTAACGTTAATGATGTTGCGTTAAATTTATTTTTCATATTAACAAAACGGAATGACTTTATTTCGTATGTATATAAATGTATGTATATAAATATTTACATAGAAATACGCTCAGAGGGTTTGATGTTCCCTGACGAGTGGCGATTGTAAATGAATTTAAAATATGTATGTAATTTTGATATTTTTTCCGTAGAAGCCATATGCATGACTACGCTTTGCTTGATTTTTTTTTTTTTTTAAATAGAATGTAAGAATTTTAGAAGAAAGCACAGAAAGGATTGGCTTTCGGAAAATTTCAATAAAGTCCATATTGCACACAATCAGTTTTTCGATTTTTGCATACGGAGGGCGGCACTGTGTGGCGTTTTGTTCGCCTCTTTTGAACTGCTACTCAAAAGGAAAGTGTTTGCTATTAAGAAAGTAGCTATTATGAACAATAGTTTAAAAATTTAAAAATATTTTTCTTTATTTCGCATAATTTGTGTAGAAATCTCAAATTATTTGCGGAAATTGTAATAATTAATATATAAACGGCTCGAACTGGCGCTTCAACGCACAGTTTAAGCCACTGTTTGTAGAGACCCGAAACTTGGAGCATGTGTTCTGGAAAGTGGACATGGGATCGAAGTATTCGAAAAATTCGGTACATAGGCAACTCTTTGCCTAAATTGACGTGTGAACACTTTTTCTTTCGGGAAGTGGCCATGCAGCCGTTACGATGATTCGGTTTTGTTTAATATGTCGTACATAGATAGCTCTGTGCTGAGATTAATAAATGGAAAACTTTGTTTTCTTCCTTATATATTTTAACATAGCAGCTAATAAACATCTGACTAGAACCATATAAGAAATCCACGTGGTCGAAGTCACGGGCAACATATAATAAAAAAATTATATAATTCTTGGCGCAAAATAAGTATTTTGAATTAGGAAAAGAATATAGAACAATCATACAAATATATAAATGCCTGATTGGTTTTTATAATTAAATAAACTTTAAATAGTGTTTTTGGTTTACACTAAGAATTATAAAAACTTCAATTTATATCATATGTAGTTATTTGTAATCCTATAATTTAATTTAGATTTTGTCAAAATTTAGTGGTATCCAAATTATTTTGCCAAATTTGCAAGTTTTTCAGTGCTCATAAAAAATTGTATTTAACCTATATATCCTTTCGTTTAGTTTATGCTAAATATTGGTGCTTCTGACTAAACACGAGTAGGTTAAATTTACAAAATAGTAATTATAAATACATGATAGATGATAATAATAATGACATTCATATTTGCGCAGGTGTGTGTGTGTTAAATGTTGACGATAGTTAGTTAAACTTGAATTGCTTATAAATTTAGAATTTTACTTTTTAATATAATAATTTTGTTCGAAAGTCCATTTTGTTTGATAAATTGCGTAGTTGTAATTTTTTTCTACCTAAATTTTAAGTTCGTAAAGAAATTTTTGGTTGGTTTCAAGGTTTACAATTCAATTTTTGTACGAAATAATTGTTATAATATTTTAATTTTTAAAATTATTTTATATATAGTTTTTAAGTATTATATTCAAGTACATGCAATTAAATTGTTACGGTACTCAGACCAATAATAATTAGTATAATACTCGTTTATTTAGTTTGTGTTTACTACATTAAAAATTCGTTAAATAAAATGTTTATTCACACAAACACATTAATAAGTATAAATTACATTTTAATTGATACAGTAAATAATTTAATTTGAATATTTTTTTTATGCTCAATTTTTTCGTAAATTAATATTGTGCAAATACATCAGACATTTACACAAACTGTTGGCTAAAATCGTTTTTCTTTTATTTTTTGTAAATTTGTTTTTGCTTGAAAATGCATTAAATTATTTCGTTTTTTTTATTTGCACTGCTGGAATTTATTTTATTTAAATTATTTTATATTTAAATGTTTTCTTAACTGCTTACTGTGGTTTCATACCCGTTTCATTTGGTGCTTATGCCGGCATTTGCTTGAAAACAGCGCAAGCACTTCAATAATATTAAATTCCAAGCGCAACTGTTATTAGTTTCCAACATTCACATTGTGTTTGTTGTGCTATTCTATTTGAGCTTAACTATATGATTGTTTTATGCATATTTGTCGTGTTTATTTTTATTTTTTACTTTTCTCTTCACATTAACGTATTTTCCTGCTCTACATTACGCTATTGTTAACGTTAACATTTCAAATTGCTATACGTAACTACTATTTTTTTTTTTTTGGCTTTCTATCAAAACTACTCACGTTACCATCTATCTTAACAATATTTCCTGCTCAATATCAACTACATACACACCTACTTCACTAACTAATACATACGCATACCTGCATACATGCCTCAAATAAATTTCAATTTATCTCTCTTCAACTCATCAACTTCAACTGTTCAATTATCATTCATATCTTTGATTGCTTGCAATATTCGCTTAACATGTCCCACTTTAACAACGCCCAAATCCTTAAGATCTCTCCTACCGAGTGTTAGTAACTCTTTACCGCGTATATCATTCTTCATGAAGCTCTCTACATACTCCGAAAGCTGCATTGTCTCTAGCCATGTGACCACCTCATCAACACTCCAATTGTTGGCAGCTTCACGTGTTGTAGTCAACGGTGGCTTCGATTGTGCCTGTCCAACTGTTGAGCCAGAACGTAGACGTACCCAGAAATGTCGAGATTTGCGTCGTCCATCACCCTGAATTAAGAGAAGATTGCAGTGTTTATATTGTTGAAATTTTATCAGAAAATATGATTTTTCAACTAAAGTAGAGATACAGCTTTTAAAGATTTCTGCAATTGTATCAGTTATAATTAATTCCAAATATCCACTCTATATTCGTGCGAGACTACGCCGATTGTATCAAGCTAGTAAGCCTATGCCATGCAGACAGCTCTGTAAGTCCCGCACGCGCCCCCGTGAAAAATCTTAAGATTTAAAAAGGAATGAAATTCCAAGAGCAAATCATTCATTAGTGTCTTTTCGCTGTAAAAAAACATAAAAGACCTACAAAAACATTCCAAAAATGTGTGAGTTTACGGTGAGAATGGCGTAAGTGAGAAAGTAGAAATGGTTTTCTGGATTCTATTCCGAAAATTGTATTGTCAACAGTTAATCTCTTTTTAGTCGGTTAGTCACTCAAAAAGTCGAAGTCAGACTGGTTAAGCCAGGCCGTTATGCACACTGTCAGGAGATAGCAGAGTCTTTAGTTATTATTCACGTGAGAGTTTGGAAGCGTTTGGCCACTCAAAGAAGCTCGAAGTTTGGGTGCCATATGAATTATCGCAAACAAGTTTGATGGAGCATCAGTGAAACGCTACCGGAATACGACATACTCGTACCATTGCTAAAGAGACTCATCACGAGTGATGTAAAATGGTTTAAATACGAATATATAAAATGAAAAAAAAAGACTTATCTGAAGTCGAATGTGCGGTTATGAGTTGCTTTGAGCTAGCGCAACTATCAAATCTGAACTTCACAGTCAACAAATAACTAGCTAACAACAAATTCTTCAAATAAAAAAGGCTTCAGAGTCGAACAAAAGCCTTATTATGACATGTCCTCACCACATTCGAAGCAGCCACAAAAAAACTCTCTAGCTGATTAAAACTGGATAGACCGAAGAGCCTCTGTATAAAATTTGGCCAAATACTTGCCAGTCAGTTCGTTTTTAATACGGAAACTTTATTCTAAGCCGCCTTCAAACGATCGATGGACTTTTTGGAGTATCTTTAATTTATTGACAAAAATAAACTTGGAGCGCTTGATATCCTTTGCCGAGGGGCGACCGCAATTAGAAAGATTAATTTTATAATTTTTATATAATTTTGGATGTTGATCGAACCTGCGTATTCCGATTGGTAGTTGATACTGTTAACCACACAGCTATTATGGCTGTATATATGTTATTGCAATTCTCAAATGGAAAAGGATTTAATAAGTCCCGAACTCATGAATATCCAATTATTTCAAACCACAGCGCTTAATAAACTTCACACGTAAACGTGGAATGTATATATTTAGAACTCAGTTCTACGTTTCACTTAAAGACAAAAGTTCATTCCGAACCACCAACAACTCTAATCGGGCTCAAACCTAGAGCTACTTAATGACCGTAAGGCATGATGAAAAAATTCCTTTATAACTATTGAAAATATTACCAAATAATATTCTCAGTTTCTGAAACATTTTCTCCATTCCACCCGAAAGCTTTTGTTCCAGTCAAACCGTCTTGTAAATTAGATTGCATTCAATGTCATCATCAATATAAATTAATGTCTGTAGATTAGCTAGGCATTAATGGCTCGGATCATTGCCACTGTAGTGTAATTAGAACCCGATTCCATAAAGAGATGTTAGTATTTACTTGGAAACTCTTAACATTTTTCTCACACCGACTGAGCGTACTTACATACGTGTATTAAGAAATCATCGATAATAATCTTGTTGTTGCGAGTTTTATTGTGGGAGTCTCGTAACTCCATGTGCATCGTTAAACCCTAAAGTGATTCACGAAAGAAATTAGAGATATTTACTGCCTTCGCTTGATAAGTAGACCAGTGTATTCTCTACTTAAAAGGTTAGTGTCATAGCGGTTTTTTCGCGATTGGTTTCCGGTCACAGATCGGCGCCTCTCGAAGCATTGGGCGGGAGCTTGGTAACGCGACCTCTAATGATTTAAACAAGAATTTCTAATTGATCCTGAGTTCATTGAGCATTGGACATAAATATAAGAGTTTCCCTATATGGCTTCGCTGACAGTCAACTTCTTCCAAGTTGCCGTTATGTAAATCGACGAAATAAAAAAACAGTATAGTTTGAACAGTATACTTACCTCCTCGTTCGGTGCCACAGTATTGAAGTACGCACGTAACTTTCCATCGGCATTTTTTTGCACCGAACATTTCTTCAACTCCATCTCTATATTGGCCAAAGCCGCACTCAATTTTGACTCCAAATCCTCACGCAATATCAAGCTGTGCGCACGATCGCGCAACAAATTACAAGCATCATCATACAGTTGGCGTGCAGATTCAATAACCTCAACTAGTTTTGTGCGCAATGTTGGACCTTCCAGTAATTTACCATCGGGATGTATAGACTCCAGAACTTCTGCGGCCCGACAAGCAACAACGTATAGATCATGTTGTAATGATGGATGTGAGATAATTAAGAATTTAACCCATTTCACCAATGAACTGACGGCTTCAATGAAGTTCAAGAGCACATAACATTCACGTTCGGATAGCACCTCATCGGTGGCCAGGGCATGCTCTGAGGCAGTCGATGATTGTTCGCGTTGTATGGATATGCTGTGTTGACGTTGTTTTTCTTGCCAAGTCTTGAAGGACATTTCCAAACTACGATTGCGACAAAGCATTTGTACGCGATTCTTGTGTAGAATACGTATCATGCCGGGTGGTTGTAGCCAAGCTTCACCATCCACTTGTATGGGTATCTCCTCATCACCCAATATATTTATTTGCACACTCTGGCATTGTGCGATGCGATGATGCTGGATATTGATGAGACGAGAGGCGGCCATTTGTACTGAACCAAAGACGGCGACTACCTCGAGCACACGATCGTCAAAACTGGGTGGCAAAAATATATCATCTTTCTTTGTAGATCCCCAGAAATTAGTGCCGCCCATGAAGCTGAAGTATAGTTTAATTAGTATTTAAAAAAAACGATTTCGTATTACATGCAAAGTTTATTTGGACTTGGATTTGAACCTTAGCTCATATATCGATATGCACTGAGACTTAAACTTGAACTTATCTTGGACTTGGACTGAGGCTTTGATGAGGATTTGGGTTTGGACTTGGACTTTGCTTGGATTTGAACTTGAACTTGGACTTGGGTACAAACTTGAACTTTGCATAGACTAGGATTAGGACATGGACTTTGTATGGTTTGGAACTTGAATTTGAGCTTAGATTTAAGCTTAGACATTGCATTGATTGGGACTTGAATTTGGATTTGGATTTAAATGTAATTATTGAATTAGACATGGAACTAGGCTTGGATTTGGATGCGAATTGGACTTCCTCACTCACCTCGGTATATTCAAAATTACAATACCCTGAAGGGAAGGTAGTGGTATGCGTTGGCCATCACACTCAAGCTGCACGCGTTGCTCCAAGTTTTTGCAGGTCTTCTGTAACAACTGTTTCGAGCCCAGCACACCATACCACATGTAATTTTTGGCACGCGAACGGCACTTCTCTGGATGCTCTTCACGTTTGTTATGAAAATCTAGCGAGATCTTGGCATCAATACCGATACCAAAGTAATTGTTCATGACGCATTTCTCATGATAACCTGCCAACAAGGTTTCATCCGGGTCCATAAGTGGACTAACAGCGGCGCATAGCGTATCTGCATTTGCTAGTAAACATTTTGAAATGAAGCCTGTGCTGTTTGCCAATGCTGAGGGCAGAAAAAGTAAACATCAGTTAAAACAAATATGAAATTAAATTAAAGCTTTTATTTATACTTACTTGGCCAATTAGGTAGGCGTACAAGTGGATTTATAATCGGCAATTTCTTCGATCCATCCTCATCCTTTTTACCCTTATCCTCACGATCTCGGTCGCCGCTTGCACCTCCACCACTACCGCTGCTGCCGCCACCACCGCCAAGATGATCAAAGCCAAACAATGTTGAGCCTGCGAAGAGGCTAGACTTTGAGCCTTTGAGGGTTTGTAGATTTGGTAGAGCCTCATTTGGCTGCAAGAGAATACAATATGTTTTAACTCAGTTGCGTTGCGAGCTGTACAACAGGTAAATATGTATGTAGTGTGGAAAGTATCAGATAGTATTGCACTAACTACTAGTAATTAAGTAAGTAAGTACGTAAAGTAGGGAAATGTAGCAAAGTATCAGCAGGTGTGAGTTGTTTACAAGGAAAAGAACGTGTGTGTGTGTATGTGTACAAGTGTTTGAACGGGGACGTGGTGTATAGTTTATTTCTGTTAAGTCTAGTAATTTTAGGAGTATAAGGATAACGGTAGAACGTGAAATAGTGAAATACTGTGATATCATATATGTACGAGAATATGTATGTACAAAGGAAAACCAAGCAAGAGGAATGAAAAGAGCGTTTAACTGAAATATGATATATGATGAGCATTGACTATAGACAAAAAGCATAGAATTAAACGACAGTCGAATGAAAAAGTTCACAGCGCAATTCATCCTGGTCATAACAGGATGTTGCATAAACAAAACGACTTCACAAAGCAACTACAAATTAAGCTTTTCAACTAGTAACTTAGTAACTGGAAAATTAGAGGAAATTTGACTAGATAGAAACTGTCGGAAAAGTACTTCTAGTGATGGAAATAAACGGCAGAGTTTCTCTCAAAAATTGTTTATTCTTCTAAGAGTTTATACGGAAAGCGTAAAATGTATAAATTAACAATAAAATGAACAATTTTATTTTGGAATACTTTCTCAAGCCAATGAAATTTGATTTTAATTATAATAATATTTAGTACCGATACACCAAAAATAATAAATGTGATTTGTACGTCAGATGACATCTATCTAGCTTATCGGCCAGCTGAATAAGAATTTTCAGTTAGTTATTGACGTACATCTCTCAATATCGAGTTCATTGCAAAAGAAATCAAAATCATTTCAATAGCAAAAATTGAATTTTTCATTAAAAACCACTTTTATTTTTCTTTTATGGTGGTGCAATTTAGGAAAACAATATTTAAATTTCAAATTTTTATTGTGATTTTTATAATTTTATTTATATTTATATTTATTTTATTTTATTTCCCTTCATTCATTTTAATATATTTAATTAAACTAAATTCAATTTATAAAGTTTTGCTTTACTTTAATTTATTATATTTAGTACTGTTTTGCTTTGTTTTGTGTAATTTTATTTTTATTATATCATTTTAATCAATTTTATTTCTTTTTATTTCGTTTTTTAGTCAAATAAGTTTAAATTAATCCTTTTATTGTTTTCTTATATTTTATTTCCTTAGGAAAATTCTATTTTTTTACTTTGTTTTATTTACTTTAAATAAATGTAATTTTATATTAATTTATTCCGTTCTATATACATATTTTTAGTTTGTATATTTTTATATATTTTTATTTAATTTAGTTTCATTTCATTTCATTTAACCTAATTTATTTTATTTAATTTAAAATAATTATTTTTAGGTTTAGTTAAGTTAATTTTATTGGAATTAATTTAATTTAATTTAATTTAATTTAATTTAATTTAATTTAATTTTATATTAATTTATTATTATTTATTATTTTATTTTACTTTTATTTTATTTTGGATTGTTTTATTTTATTTTACATTATTTTATTTTATTTAATTTTTTTTAATTAACTTTATATATTTTTATTTTATCCTAATATAATACTTTTTTAAATTTGCTTTTAATTTATTTTTATAGTAAAGTTTTATTTTTTATTTTTTTTATTATTCTTTGCCTTGTTTGATTATTATTATTTTTTTTTAATTATTTTTATTTTTATTTTTTCTTATATCACTTTATTTTGTCTCATTTTATTTTTATTTATTTACTTGAACTCATTTTATTTATGTTTACTTTCTTTTTTTCTTTTTTCATTTAATTTTATTTTGTTATATATTTTTTATTGCATTTAATTTGGTTTATTTTTTATATTGGATTTAATTTTTTGTATTTATTTTATTTTATGATATTTTCATTTTTTCATTTTATTTTTTTTACCCTTTGTTACAGTTTAATTTATTTTATTTTGTTTAATTAAATTAAATTAAATTTATTTTTTAATTTTGTTTCATATTATTTTATTTTTTTTATGCAGTTAATTTCATTTTATTTAATTTTTTGCTACTTTAATATACCATAACATATATGTATTATTTTATTTATTTTATTGAATTTTTTAATATAATTCAATATAAATTTATTTTACTTAAATTGTCTTATTTATCTTTCATTGCATATGTGAATATGCTTTATTTGGTTTTATATAAATTCATTCCTTTAATATGTATAATTTATTTTACTTCACCTTATTGGATTTTACTCTATTTGGCTGGTCTTATTTAATTTAAAATATATCTCTACATTTCATATTTATTCTAATATATTTTTTAAAGATCTCGTTTATTTTATATTTTTTAATTTTGTTTCATGTACTTCAATTAATTTTATTGTAATGAATTAATTTTTTCTTTTATTATATTTCATTTTATTTTGTGTTTTTTAACTAATTGATTTTGTTTTACACACATTAATTTCTATATTTTTTACTACAATTTTTTTTACACAGTTTATTTGCGTAAAGTGGAAAATTTAAAAAAAGAAAGAAATTAATTTTAAATTCTATGAAATATCTGATTTTCTACAACAAAGTCCCGCTGATATATCATTGGACTGGAAATTGGATTCTTTGAATGTATGCGTTTTCGTTTCGCCTCAATTTCGGTGTTGTCGTGTGCGTGGTTTACACTTTCTTAAAAGTTGTATTCATCTTAAAAGTTCAATGTATTGATATGTGAATATTGTGTTTCAGTTGTAGCTTGTCCGCAAACACTTCAGTAAGCCAGCTTAGTGTTATCGACCAAAGCGAGAATCATACTTAATTATAATTTTTATCCCCGATTTGTGGTCACTGTAGAGGAGCACAATAACTAAAATAATTAGAATAATTGTACTGCCAAAAATAAGGTCATCAACACCTCAGAATTTTTTCTGTTACTGCAGTACAGTAGGTATTTAGTATTATTAAGAGAGAACAAAAATAATATATCAAAATTTATTTTTGTTTGAAAATAAACATGTTCACATGAAATAATTCCCATCAATTTTTTTCCAAAAAAAAAAAAAAAAAAAAAAAAAAAATGAAAATAGTTTTACACGTAGCATTAAATTATTTATTTAGCGAATACTTTTAAATTTTTTTGAAGCAAAAGAAAATCTTTGGTAGAAAACTTGCCAAAATAGATTCAGATTCTTGTAGTAATAAGATTTTTAGTAGATATTCTTTGATTTATTTTATTTTATTTTTTATAATCCTCGATTTATGAATCGCATTCCATATGCACCGGCGAGTTTACTTCAGACTTATAATTTGTAGCTCCAAATAATAATCCAATTCAACTATACGCACCTCTCTAAGCACACATAGAAGAGATTTTTAAACATAATATATTAACAAATTCATCGGAATACATATATTTTTACATTAAAATAATAACAGTGTACCTCAGTAATTATAATAGGAGTCCGATAAGCAGGTTTTAGAGCAATACATAGAGTTGATAGATATAATAACATAAATCTTACACTTTAAACAGGTAACCACGAATATGCTTATTTCACGGGTACATAGGTATGTATGGTTAGCATGATGGATCAGCAGGTTTTAAATAGCCTATGGATAACGATATGCTTACCAACGGTATAAGTGGTCTAATCAGAGCCAATGTGGCTAAACGTATATCCGGCTCAGCGACTACAAAGAAGCGCAAGCCCAACAAGCCATAACTATGCTCGGAAAATCGCTTATTCGAATTCTTCTTCTACAATCACAACCATTTCGTAGTTAGAAAACATACAGACGAGTATGTGCGCGAAAATGTTCACATGTATGTATGTATTTGAAAAAAAAAAATGTTTATAAACTGTTATGTTATGCTTATGAACTATGTTAAGGCAGTCAATATGAGATGTAATTTATTGTAAGTATGTATGTATATAATGTTTAATTGTAAATGGCTCAAGGTTTCTTTATGTAGCTTGGAATTTTATTTTTAATTGTTTTGTGTTGATAAATGTGTATGTGTTAGTGTATTTTGATATTTAAATTTTTATAATACTGTTTTTTTTTGTTTTTGTTTTGTAATAAAGGTGTGTAAGTGTGAAGGATACAGCAGTACTGTTAGCAGAAAGTTACAGCATATGATTTGTCATATACATACATATATACATATGTTGTGTTTAACAAATATAATTAATTTTGAAATACATACCAATCGTTTTCGCTAAATTTACATATCTTTTCGATTCTCGTTATTGAAAATCTTTATGAAATATACGTACATTTAAAAAAAGAAAATCAATTGTAAAATTGTGTGTTGACCTAAGCCAAGCCTAACAAAGCAATTTTTATTATACGAGTATTTGAATTTTTAGCATAAATTATATTATATATAACCGGCTATCTACTGCACTGACCTTCGATCTTCAACTTTTTCCTGCATTCCTGTCTCTCTCCTTTCTCTTTTTCTCTTTCTCTGTATCTCTCTCTCTCCCTCTCTGTGTGTGTATCTTGAATTGCAATACTTTCGTGTAGCACTTACCTTGAATAGGCTGCCACAGCTGATGCGTCTACTGGCTGCCGGTGAGGAGCTTAAGAATTTCGCATGCTCTGGATCCAAACTCAACAGATTCGGATTGTAGTTGGAATGGCGGCGATCCTTCTCCGCATGTTCGCGCACCGACAGACTGGTCGTTGCATGACTCGAATGACGCCTTAACTCCATCGGCAGCATGCGGACCGACAAAAGACTTCCTGCTGAGTCTGCATTCACCGGTTTGATAGCATCTCCACGTAATGGTGTTGGTGGGCGCACAACTACACTTATCTGCGGATAGTTTGGATTTACATCATCAAAGGATTCTTTCTTACACGACTCATCAAAAGTAATGCGCTTTACATCTTGTCCGTGTCCCGATTTTTTCGGCGATGTGCTCAATGCTGAGCCAAGCGTTGCTGTATTGGTTGTTGTTGTTGCTGATATTGCTGTTGACTCATGGGTATTCAAAGTGTTGGTCATTGTCGATAGGGTCTGCTGTGGTGTATTGGTAAAGGATGTTGGCGTTGACTGTTGTTGTTGTTGTTGGTGGTGGTAGTGGGGCTGTAGCTGGTGGGGGTTATCCATTTGTGCGTATGCCTCAACATCGCATACCTCAATCTTTATGGCCATTTTGGTGGTGTGCTGGTCGTCCTCGCTCTGTTCGCCGTTTGGGTATGCGGCCGTTGTTGTTGTTGTCATTGTTGTGGTGGAGGCATCAATTGAAAGTTGTTGTTGTGAGATAAGTATAGAGGATTTGGGTTTGCGAAGGGAGGTGCGCTTTTTAGGTCGCTTTTGAGGAGAAGTAAATTTGTAATCCAAAATAGGTTTGTATGTATGTATGCCCAAAATTAAAATTAGAATTGAGCGAGCATACAATTACTTACTTAAAATTAAGTCATAAATTATACAAGTCAAATCGACCGTTAAATATATTTTGAAACATTTATGCAAAGCTTCTATCGCTTTCACAAAGAGCTGTTGGCAATACGTCACATAGTTTTGTCGTTTTGTTGTCGTTTTGTCAAGGGTGAAATCTATCGCACTCTTTACATAAAGCATATATCCATACATACATATATACATATATATGTATATATATATATATATATATATATATATATATACAATATAATATAAATATGTATGTAGTATATGTATATACATAATAATAGGTGAAAAAGTTAAAAAGGCAATTGAAAATTATAAAAAAGCAACAAAAACTTTGGCTTAGCATTTACACAAAAACACACACACCGGAAATATCATCAACAACGAACCAGTGCAAATGCACCTAACTTACTAATGATTTCGTTTGCCGTTGTTTTTGTTTACAAATATTATATACTAAATACGTGCATAACAACCCATATACATATGTATGTTTGTATTTAGAGTTTTTGAACAAACTCACCTTGAAGCTCTGTCGCGCTATATCATTACCCTCGACGAAGTGTGCCAGACTGCAGAACTTTGGCGGTTCACGCATCTTCTGATCATCACAACGATTATCGATTTCGAAAACGATATTCTCGAAGCCAAACTGCTGTGGATTCTCATCGCTATCCATGCGCGCCAACTGTGCCTTGTGCGGTGGCGATGAATTGCGCCGGGCACTGCGCTGTCCGCCCATGGTGAGTGATTTCTTGCGTATGGATTTTAGAGGTGCTGGCTGGTTGTCTGAGCAAAGTGTGTTTGTATCCTCGGTAATGGTGTTGTCCTGCAGTGCACATGCAATGTCGTGGCCCAACACAGAGCTAATGTCATCCATGAAAGACTCGCCCGGTACGCCTTCGGTTTCATCACTTGTTTCGGGTGAATCGATGTGCGTAAAATTGTTCGCATCCAAATTCTGTTGAATTATGAAACAAATTAAATTACTGCGGTGGGAATTTTTTACTATGGAAGAATGAAATCAGAGTTATTGTCAAAAACGAAAAAGATTCTTAATGATTTGTATTATGGTTGATAGTTCGATCTCTTTAGATTTCTTGAAATTTTGTTAGAAATGAAAATTTAAATTTACGAAAAATAATATTCTTAAAGCGGCGGTAAGGGATGGGCCATCGGCTGAGCTGTTCGTGTATAGTACCAAAGTGTTCATTCGTTTCTTTACAAAATTTGGTCGCTCGTCGGAGGATTGGAACACGAATGTGCTTACCTCAATCCACAAATAAAACAGTATTCGCCAATTATCACGAGATAAGTTTTCTGAATAGCCCATATAAGCTTCCATCTTGGCGCAATATGTGAAAGATTTAACCCGTCAACTGACTGATTGCTAATTATCAGTCGGGCTCTGCAGTTGGTTGGTCTACAATTGCGCAGATGTACTCCAACTACGAAATCTTGAAGAAAACTAACGAGAAGAGCATCCGCACATTTCATATCGTCACTTTCAAAGCCATTCTCAACACAACAACAAAAAGCAGTTTCAACGCTGCGGATGATCAAGCTGATGCAAAACCCAAAATACCACAATTTCATATTTCTTCATCCTATATTGATACTTATTTGTACTGGAAGATTTATATTGAGGGTCACTTGTTTCATGTCCGGCTACACCAATACCCAGGATTATAGAATATCAAATGAAATTATCGATTCAATTTGCGATTGTCCGTCGGCAGGAGGTGGTTTAAAATGAAGTGTTTAGTGCAAAACAACAAGCAAATGTATGATACATACATTTATCAATTGCTTTTTCATCGTTGGTGGAACCGAATTGAGGAGAATTCAGACTGAACTCTCCTGATATTAGATTTCGATGGCTAAAGTGAATATCTCGATAGGTTTAACATGGACTGCGAGGTGAGGACAAGTATATGCCCCGAAAATCGCAAAATTTCCCCTCCTTTGGGTCTATCAAACTCAGCTAGCATCTTCAAAGCTGGGTGTTGGGTATGGTAAATGTCAGGCGGCATGGCTGGCCTTCTCGAAGTTAATGGTAAGATGCAGATTTTTCTTTCAAAAGGTTGGAAAAAGATCCTTCTTGGACGGCACGCACAAGGTTGACTGCGAGAACAAAGTCGCCTCTCAATGAGTGTCTATAGCAACTGAGAAATAAAGATCAGAACCTCTGTGCCCATGTGTGGAAACACAAACTTGGATAAGTTACTTTCTATTAGTCCTTCACAATCCTACCTGGATTATATCCCCTAATTGCAACGGGCGCTCGGGCTCCAGTGCTTCCAGTTGTTTGTCGAAAATTTCCGATGCAACACTGCATTCTTCATCGCCAATAGCCGATAGCACATCGCTCGCTTCGCCACCAACTAATTCATCTGATGATGAAGGCTCCTGAACAAAGTAATTTAAAGTAGCAAATAGTTCATATAATTAGTATAATATATGTGGGTCAGATTAGTAAATTCTAATATCATATTAACCCTACGATACGTACAGGGGGAACGTCTGTGTCAATGATTGTTATGGTTTCGCTTGAGTAAACATTTGGGGCTTTAGGGGATATTTCTACGTTGGGTACCTGCAACTGGCAAGCCACATCGTCAAAACGCAGTTCTTTAGTCCTTTCTTGCATTGGTTCGGTATCTTTGACGTCGCCATTTAAATTCTCGTCTTCAACATCAAGATGCTCCCTACGCTTCTTTTCCAAATCCAGCTCTCGACTCATATAGTAATTACGCTCGAATACTTCTATTGGTCGAAAATCAGCCAGAGGATCGACAATTTGTTCATTTGTTATTATCGGCACACTGAGAAAATCTATTTTGCGTTCAGCCGCCGCTACAGTGTTGCCATTGTCGCCTACTAAAGGTAAACGAGTGTCGAACTCATCGATATTAGCGCCACCACTGAGTGACATCCTACCAACTCGACAAACAATTTCTCTATTACCACCCGGACCATTTTCTTCTATTTCTTGTATTACTTCGGGCACGCCCGAACTGCGACGGCTATCGGCAAATTGTCGCGGCACCGGAATACTAATGGAGTTGAAGAAATTTTCGTCAACGGAATCACGACGTGTATCGGGTAATGGCGATATGTTTGTCAAGCGTGAGGTTTCCATAGTTGGCGATATTATATTGATTGGCGGTATGGTGGGCAAGGGAGAGGAGCATGGTGTAGATTCGCTTGAGGCGTTGGTTGGTATTTTCAATGCTTCAAACGGCGTTATGGATAGTTTCCGTTGATAGCGCTTAGGCCTACCCGGCTCCGTGTGCTCAACCACTTTGTACATGGCGCGCTTAACACTGTTGGCACGGCACTGCAGAGACTCACGTTCAGCAGAGTGCAGCGAACGACTATTGCGTCGTTCATTATTGTTGAGTTGGTCCTTTTCATCCTTCTGAATTGATATGTTTGGATTACTGGAAATTTACGATATAAATTATTACATATTTTCACATTTTTCAATTTAATTTGCAAACTTACAGCAGCGAAGCTGAGGTCGAGGGCGTGGTTGAGCAAGTGGGCGAGGCAGCTGCACTTCTTGAAATAATACTATTGATTGTCGCTAACATATCATCACCCGAGTGTGCGCCGCACTCCTCTTCGCGTAACGCCTCCAACAGCATATTCAATTTCTCACGTAAAATGTCACATTTAATCGACAATTGTTCATCCTCCTTACGGCTTTCACAGATTTGTACCATAAGTTCGTCGATTGTTTCGCAAAGTGTTTTGGTGGCAGTTAAAAGTGTCTGCGAGTCATCCGTCTCGACAATATTTACCAAATTCACATTTGCCGTATCCACCATACCGGTGAGCAATGCCTCTTGTGCACTTGACAGTGACATTTTTGGCGTCTTCGGGTGTAGAGCGACTGCCTTTTCAAAAACCATTACGCTCCAACGGTCCAACATCTTAGTGCTAGCAGACTCATAACGTTCTAGTACTTGCGGCAGGTGTGCATCGTCATCACAGGACGAGCCCCAGCCTAAGACGCGGGCCAAATCGTTGCCAGTACCAAGCGGGAGAACTCCTACTTGACATTGTTTCTGCAAAGTAGATCATATATATGTTTAATAAGGATTACGTGTGAAACAATTAATACATAAATATATATACATATATGAACAGCAGTCTAAACAAAAAGTTCTAAATGAAAAAATAAATAAAAAAGGTTTTGGTGCAAAAATCATCATAAGAACCAACAGAAAGTGTCTTAACTAAGCGCAATATGGCGGTGCAATCTTAATCCATATCCAAATTATTTAAATTATTTTATAAATAATTCGGCAAGGATACTCGATATTCTTATTATCTTAAAGGCTTAATTTCATTGTTTCGAAGCTCTCTCTGCCACTCGAATGTGCTTCCTCTATCACAGACTTCGATGACTATTCGATATTGGCGTGCGTGGAATAAACTTAAAACTTTCGACGAAATGTGATTTGCTAGCTCTTTGACTCTTCACTTCACGACGTATAAAACTGCATATAGGCAGCTGGAAAAGATGTACCGATTCGACCGGAGTGTCCAAGTCAATGACATTGAAATTCCAATTGCTAATAATCCTTATTTATTATGGGGAGTTCTGACCGTCGGCTCAGTCACTTTATTTCTTTGCCCTTCGCTAACCACCACGATCATCTCGAACATCGTTTAGTCACACAAAGACCAAGGAATCTTGCTGGTGATGTCGTTTGAACATCCTCTTCTTAGTTAAGGTAAGGAGCATAATATTAACAGTGAACGTAATCCAAACATCACCTATAGCAGACGTAGATGTTGAGACGGGAGAAAAATTTGCACAGCTACTGTCTGAGTACTGAAAGAGACTTGGCTCCAGCTTATCGATACTCGAAACCGTTTATCCTGCATACCATAATTCCTTGCATGACCCTTTTTTGCATGCCCACTACCAATTACTCAACTAGCATCTCTTTTATCTGGTCTGAGCCCGTCAAAACAGTTGTTCTTCTGGTACTACGGTTAAATGATCTCGATCACATCAACTACAATAGTTTTGCCTGTCTCTATGCGGGGTTATCTGGGTGCTACCCCAACAATAACAATAACAATAACAATAACAACAACTTAAAAGTGAAAATCATAAATTATTATCGGATGAAAATTTTGTATTTATTATTTTTTGGTGAACAGAGGACTTAGCTTATTTAAGCGCATATATATATTCCCACTGTGAGCAATTAAACATTTTCTTATGGAATTTATATTCTGTTACTTACATGCATATTAAATCGATCAATTTCGCTGAGCACCCAACCTATGGAGCCATCACCGGAGCACACTAATATTCGAAACATTTCAAAATGTCTGAATAAACGCAAACCCAGTCCGGGGCCAGTAGATATGAGATCAAAAACTTGTGCTGGATTCAATAACTGTTTGAAGCGTCGTAAAAATTTGACACCCTGATTGTCACCCGACTTTGAATTGACGAAAACTAAGAGCGGCGAAAAGTTACCCCTCGGACTCACCACATCCCAAGAGTCATCGTTACCAATCGAATGTACACAAGTTGGTGGCACAACTGATAACTTAGCCGGTCCCATGAGGCATGCGACGGCAATGTGTGGCCGACAGGCAATATGTACTGTCTCGCGACACCACAAACAACGCCAATCTTGCAAACGCAAAACCGAACCGCAATTTTTCTTGCAAACAGCGCACGTCGATGCCACCGGCAAATTACCCTCCATCCACTGATGTGGCATAATGATACTGCCATCACGATCCTCAATAATATCCTTACCAACGGTAGCCAATGTAGTCCATTTACAATTTGCAATCGCTTTGGGTGCGCAACGTTTATGTACTTTACATTTGCACACCTCACACGAGAGTCCTTGCGAGGTGACACCAGTCAGCACATCGCGGCAAACATTGCAGAAAGTAGGTCGCGCATGCGAAGTTGCATACCAGTGATGATTATTCGAGAATAGGTCATGTTGTTCTATGAAAAAACTATCACCGCGCTCACGCGCCGGTATTGAGGCGGTCCTAAGTGAGGAAATCCACTCTTCCATTTCGTTTCGTGATTCGGCACACAGCACTAGTGAACGAGCTTTGGTATATATCTGAAAAGATGAATTTAAAGGAAAATAATTAGTTAAAGCTCAGATAGGCGAATTGACGCTGTAAAATAACTTTTTAAACTGAAAATAAACAAATGAATCTAAGTTATCTCGTAGGCTTAGAAGTTGAAAGTTACTGTATTTAAAGTCGGATAACTGTTAAGTAGATTTTCGATAGTCTTTTTCTCTTTAATCCCAGACATTTTCGTAACAAATTATGCTACTGCCCAATGGGAAAAAACAAATATTTTACGGTGTCTATTAAATTAACCACAAATTGAAGGGGGAGCTCGACCGAAGATCGATTCAGCGGTATCAAAGCGCCAATTATCTATAAATGGGGTTTTTTCCGAGGTGTTTGTAAAGAGGTTCTACTTTTTCGAAAATGGTTTTTTGTCAGCGCTTTTTTGATTTATACTTTTCCCGGAAGAACATTTGCAAATCGGGCAAATATTACCGAAATGATGGTTCGGTTAGCGCCACGCATCGCGTCCAATACTCGGTCGATATAGTCACCGAGTAGAATCAGTAATTTATACTCAGCCATGCCGTACATTGCGCACCGAAGACACTATTATTGATATAGAGCAGAGCATCGGAGAAGTGAGGATAATCCACAAGTCATTATTGAGACGCTGCTAATAACCTCAAAAAGTTACTGTTTGGTGTGTCTTATGGGCAGAGGGAATTATTAGTCCGTATTTCTTCAAAAATAAAGCTAGAGCGGTAACGCTATAGAGCCTTGAGATGGAACTGCACGTCAACGAGAAATTCAAAATATTGGGGGAAACTTTTGGTGAATCTGGACTATTTTTGTGGGGTTGAGCCGCCGGCGATCTACGCAGATCACCCGAGACGGTTTAAGCATCGGATGAGAAAATTCGGTATGTTATCGCTGCAAAAAGGTTTAAAAATTTATACGTTTCGTCTGGAATTTATTCCAGTCAGTCGCACCAGTTACCTGCTCGAAATTATTTTCACACAAACGTTTTTTTTTATAAATAAAGATTTTTAAAAGTTTCTTGACCAAAACATGAAAAGTGCAAATTTTTTGAACTTTAAGTACAATGGAAAGCTATCAGTTGGTTCGTATATATATCAAAGCGCTATGGGGTTTTAGACACCAAAGTCAACGTGATATGTGACATCATCTGAAACAGCACGTCCATGACTAGCTGTACTGGAACCACAATACTGAAAGCTGCACTAGTTCATCAGGAGCTAACTATTTGTTTTATTTTCCTTTCAATTGCATGTTAATCAACGTCAATTTGGTTTCAACGGTGTCTGTGTAATGAGCAGGCAAATCTCTAAAATATGTATTTAATTATTATATTATTACGCACGTAAATGTGTAGGTATATACATATGAACAAATGTATGCTTGTATATCAATACCGCATTAAATAATTATGCACTTATGTACTATAATTAATAGGGCTTGAACAAAAACAGAGGATTACCAGCTTCTGAAGCAGCGTTGCATAAACCATCGTTCAAGGGCACGTTATAGCAAACTAATATTCAGGTTACACGTAGCAGCAGAATTAATTAGAAATTCGAGCTGTCCATGTCAGGAACTCTCTCCGTCGCTGTTCACTGTCATAACAAGGTTTGGAAGAAGCCCCGTGTGTATCTGATTAAGTGGTTTGGTTATTATCTTCTGCATTCTAAGCAGTCAAAGTTCACTTCAACTTTAGCTACATATAAATGTGCTTGTGCATAAAGCTGCAACGGGAATATGTATGCATGTCTAGTCAAGACATATATACACTATTAATATATATGTACGTGTAGGGGAGAAGATATATTGCTAAACCAAATGCACTAATAACATAACAGTAAGCAACCAAAGTATTCATATAGCGTTGAGCTACCAAATGCCTCCTGTCGGTCTTTGCATCAGCTTTATACTAGTTAAATACTAGTAAACTTATGATATATGATTTTTTCCGAAATAAAGCAAAAACTAACTCCAGTGATATTCGCACTGTAAATCTCACTACCTATTTTTTGTATCATTATGCACTACAATAGTTTTTAATGCACGGATGCCATGTATAGGGTGCTTTTTAAAGCATGTGTGGTTTATATTATGGCAAGAAATTAGTTTTAATAAAACTATAAGGGTCTGCCATTATGAAAACATATTTTGAGCCAGTAAAGCGAACCGGTCTGGTAGTGGACGGCGACAAAATAAAAAATATTATCTGTCACCAAACAAGCAGTCATTGCATTCGCGACTCAGCTCCCATGTCATTGTTTGGTAGTCATAACTTTGAGGTCGCAAATAACTTCGTCTGTCTAGTGACCAGCATTAAAATCCAAGAAATCCACAAAGCCACTCTTGGCAACCGGTGCTACTTTGAACTGAGCAGACAATCGGAAAGTAAAATCCTCTCTCTGTTGCGAAGTGTTGACCTTGAGAGTCTTCCTTGAGAAAAAATTTGCGTACTACCTATGGAAGATGCTACGATGAGTTATACGGATGAAACCATTCCAGCTTTGAAAAGGAGTTATGGAAAATTGGTATAGTCGTATGAACCAACTCAGATGTAGCGGCAAACAACATTTGAAAGAGATATACTTCAAAAAAATAAAAGCCAAAGAATGCTCTTTCGAAAGATAATAAACATTCCGCAATTGATTTGAGCTTAATGTGTTTTATTCTTAAAAAAGAATCGAGTAGAGAGGGACTTTAATTCATCTCTTATTTGAAACTGGCGTCAAAGAGCGAAAAGGAGGAACAAATGGTGCACTATTGTTGCTTCCGCCATCCAATCATTAGCTGAAAAGTTGTTTGAGGAAAAACCGTAATGAGTTCTGAAAGAACAACTCGACAATTTTTCGAAAATTTTCTCCCATGGATTTAACAGATATAATTAATTTATTTTTTATTAAAGCTTGGCCTTGCATAATATAGAATACTGAGAACTTTATGGAAACAAAATTGACTTTTCTTTTTTGTTTTCAGAATTCTTCCCTAAGTTTAAATTACATAAGTATAAGTTTTCATATTAAAATACGTCAACTACACCACCAAAAGGAGCACAGTTACTCGCTTGAACGTAATTTCCGCCGTTAAGTGTTCCTTTCTTTCTTTCGGTTCTTTTTTTCGCGCTAATGCACGTTAAACAGGATTTCCTTTTGAAATTTCAGTTGATTGACGTCAACAAAGCATAACTAACGATTGGCTGCAGTTGATGTCAAAGTTAACTTTCAGTAACGCAAATATATGTGTTCGAGTATTTAGGTGGAAATACGAGAAAGTCAGCATTGCACGAATTCATAACGGTAAGTAATTTAGCTCATCAGCATAAGCAAATAGTAAAAAACTGGCATCAACTGGCATTAAGGCAATCTAGAGCAGTTTAAATACTAACTTTTCAAGGGGTTCGGCTAAAATGGAATTACATTTAAAATTCAAGTCTCTGTCAAAATCAACGGATTAAATTTATGGTTTTAAATTTTTGTTCATTAGAATAGTTAGCGGATAAGATAAACACGTCTCGCCACAATCCGCATGGAATCAGTTAATCAACATATCATTGATATGCGCCTGCGCATCTAAGCACGTAAGCGATGTCTACGGAAAATAGGAAAAAGTGGGAGAGGATATGTGTGAGTTAGAAGTAAATTAAGGATAACCAAGGTTCGTCCATTACTCATCGATATTCGGAGTTAGGCACTACACAAACATCATTGCATTGTATTTCACATAAAGATGTGGATCTTAAGGCTTATAAAATTCAGGTAGCACAAAAACTCAAGCCAGACGATCATAAACAACAACGCGTCTTTGCTAATTAAATACATTTCCACGTCGACGGCTATGTCAATAAAAAAATTGACATCTGGGACCCGGAAAACCCAAGATTTTTTATTGAAAAGACTCTCCATCTTCAACGTGTAACTTTTTGGTGCGGTTTATGGTACGGCCAGATCATTGAACCTCATTCTTTGGGAAATGAGGCTGGAGCAATAGTTATAGAGAATGGCTTGCGCTATCCAGAGATAGTTAATGACTTATGGCCGGAATTGGATGGAATTGATCTAGACAACGTTAACTTCAATGAGATAGTATAGCGTTCCACTCAAGCTACGAAACCATCGTTATTTTAAGGGAAAATATGCCAGACTGTTTTATATCTCGAAGAGGGGATCGCAATTCCTCCTTTAGGGCCAGGTCTACGCCAACAGGCCAACGTCAATTCAAGACCTTAAAAATAGAATTATGAATCTTTTGGGGGAATACAGCAACTACTTTGCGATTTGGTGATGAAAAATTTCATAAGAAAGTTACTGTTCTTTACATTTAAATAAACATCTGATCATTTATCACAAAAAATTTTATTTTTATTTGAATATCATACTAACTCCTCCTATATGAAAACCCTGTATAATTTTTGGAAACAGCTAGTAGAGTCAACAATATATATGTAAGTGTTTTCCTTGTTTGAGTAGGGAGTAACGGTCTAGTAGTCCAATAGTTTACCTGGGTTGTTAAGGCCTGAGAATAAAAGCCTTTATCCTTTGTACCGATGTGTAGGTAAAATAATGGCGATAGCTGTGATTTTCTTTCTATTAGAAAATCTTTTCATTTTGAGCAGTACACCACAAGCCGACTTACCATCAACTTATTATGGTGGTCGATCGCAGATCGCAATTTCAATTTTATAATTCTAAATCATCCTTCTCCAATATAAACTATTCGTCGTTTTTCCAAAAAATGAAGGAACCTAAAATTTATTGAAAACCGCCACCGAACGGCTGATAAAGAGCATTTTATTTCATGTTAGAAATACACACGGAGGGCTTTAAATTGCAGTCCGAGAGGCGACCGAATCTATAACTTTTCATTTGTTTTCTATCATTTAGATTGTAGTCTGTATATGTACTTTGGTCCGAAGTTTGGGCAGGACAAGGGAAAGGCCTTTAAAAATATATACCGATTGTCCGTCTGTCCATCTGTGTGTACTGCGCCCTCAGTTGATGTGATAGGG